GTGTGGTTGGGGGGGGTGGTGTGTGGTGGTGTTGGGTGGGGGGTGGTTGTAGGGGTGATGGTGGGGGTGGTGGTTGTATGTGGGGATGGTGTGTGGTGGGGGTTTTGTAGGGGGTGAGGGGGTGGTGGGGTGTTGGGTTTGGTGGTGGTGGTGGTGGGGGTGTGTGGTGGTTGTGCGGGGTGGGGGGTTGGGTGGGGGTATGGGGGGGGGGTTGGGTGTGGGGGTGGTGGGTGGTGGTGGTGGTGTGTGGTGGTGTATGGTGGTGTTTTGGGGTGCTGGGATGTGGTGGTGGTGGGGGTGATGGTGTGTGGGGTGGGGGGGTGGTGGGGGTGTTGTGATGGTGGGGGGTGGTGGTGGGGGGTGGGGGTTGTGAGGGTGGGGTGGGGTGGTGGGGTTTTGATGGTGGTGGTTGGTGTAGGGGGTGGTGTTTGTGTGGGGTGTTGGTGGGGTGTGGGTTTTGTGTGGGGGTGTGTGGGGGTGTGTGGTGGGGGTGTGTGTGGGTTTTGGGGTGGTGTTGGGGGTGGTGTGTGGTGGGGGGTTGGGGTGGGTTGGTGGTGGGTGTGGTGGTGGTGGCAGCTGGGGGCCCCATTATGCATGAAATATTAGGAGCATCATTTCACTGCCTTTACAGACACAAATGTTGGTATTAAATACCAATTTTTCCCCTTCTTAAACTCAAATGGAAAAGATGGAAAACAAGAGAAAGTCTACTACCATCCACTTTTCCTTAGTGCAGTTTGACACGCTTCATGTCTCAGCCCCCCCCTCAGGGGTGAACTTGGTGCCCCCTTCACACCCCCAAAAGGGGCCCAGAATCTGGACTCGATCTCTGCAATCACATATAGGAAGGCACCCACCTACTATACTTTATTACTATACTACTACTTGCAGACCATCTACCTTCTTTCACGTGCCGTTTTGTCCACCCTTCTTCATCTCTATCACTAGTCACTACCCCAACACACACAGAAAAGATATACCAGGGGGGACCCCAAAGGGGTCAGTTTTTCCCCCGTTTAATGTTTTCTTAAAAATAGTTTTTACCAACAGGTAAAAAATTATTGAACTTTTTAAAGGAGAAGACGTTGCTAAAAATTTAAAGAATTTTGCAAAACCCTAAAAAAAGACTTCAAACTGAACAAGTTAAAACGTATGAATGTGGAATTTTTTTTAGAACTTCCCATATAACGACGAGATTCACGGAATTTTTTTTTATTTTCGTAATAAATCTTTAAATCCCCCTTTGGGTACCCCTAAAATTTTGCCAATGAGAAAAATATCACCCCATTTAAATTAGAAAAAGGGCGGGCCCATCTTAATCCACGGACTGTGTCTGTCAGACAGCAGTACTCCCTTTTTTGCCCCAGGAGAATATATCCAGTGATCAAACATTCGGGGCGCGGGCAAAGAGAATCGGAGTAATTAAATTTCCCAAAAGTTACAAAATTAAAACCATATTTTTAAGGGGTGGGCCGGTAGCCAGCGTTAGTACCAAAAGCTCCAGCGCTGGTCACTTGACTAAGACCGAAACAGGAAACATTTCCTTTTTGGGCAAACCTTACCTATTCGGAGTAATTAAAAAAAAAAAGGTTTTTGCTGAAGGGTCACATAAATGAAGGGGAGGGAAAAAATCACACCAACCTGGGACACTTTAGAATACCCCCCAAAAAGTTGAAATGTTAAAAATAAAATTTATAATTAGGGAAAAGGGATGCAAAGGGGGTCCCGTGGAATACCGTTAAAAAATTAGGTACACAAACCCTTGTGAAATTTCCATTTTAAAAAATTTTGAGTAAACGGAAAACCCCCTTTTTGGGGGCCGTGTTATGAGAAACATTTGAAAGGTACCCAAAATACTCCCAAACTCAGAAATAATGCAGTAGGACGATATCATTGAAAAACCTGTTAGTTTAAACAGGAAAATTATACCATCAGAAATGTTAACCAGAAACAAAACCTATAAAAAAAAAATTCTAGAACAGGAAAAAAAAAAAGCCACATTTCAAATTTAAAAAATTCTTTTTAAAGGGCACTAGACTATATTTATTATGCACTAGAACAGAAGAGAATCTAAGCGGAATAAAAGTGTACAGCCAGGGACAAAAAAAAAAAATTCAGACAAAAAAGAAGGAGCACCTAGCATAGCTCTGTCCCTAATTGACAAATGGTAAAGCGGGGCACGGAAAAGGGATCTCTGCTCCTGAAACTGCACCCCTGCAGACGGGGGATTTAAATATTACTTTCCTTAACTGCACTATGAAGACAGGACACCCTGAGCAAGCTTTGTTAAAATAACTACAAATAGTATCGCAAATGGGGAAGTTCTTTTCCTCCACCAAAAAAAACACAACACACACACACACACAAAACACACCAACCAAACACACCACCAACCCCCCCCACCACCATACACACACACACACCCACTCTATAAACCTGTACGTCAAGCCCATATGGGTATGCAGCACCTTTTGGGGCCCCCACCGACCAATCATAGGAAAATTTGAGAAAATTCACAGTTTTTAAAAAACTGTCCAGGAGTAGGTGAGTTCTACGAGGAGAGGTTAAGGGAAAACAAACCCACGACACTTGAGACAGAAAAAATTTCGTGGGTATAATAACAAAATAAAATACTGGAGGAATCGAAAAGGTGGACAGAGAAATTTCCCGAGATGGGCACGCAACAAAGGGACACAGTTGGAAGTTAAAAACTCAGATTAGTCACAGGGATGTTAAGAAGTTAGGTAAAAGCGCACCTGTGCAACTAATGTGACATTTTATCG